TTTAATTATTTATTTAATTAAAATGATATATGCAACATTGATAATAAAATTAATATCAATTTTTAATATTTTTTATACTAATTAATATAAAAAATATATATATTAATTAGATTATTCTTAACATGTATTATAAAAACATAAGTTTAAAAAATTCCTTCCTAAAATTAAGCTGGCATTGTCAGAGCCATGTTTCTTAAAATTGCATCTTAATGACTTAATCCAAATTAATTGGATCCAATGTGATTACCAAAAAAGTATATATACCATGTTGGACTTTAACCGTTTGATAATTTGTAAGTTGAATTGAAATTTTAAAAGTTTGACAATGTATTTGGTTTAGTTGTTTAACTGTTTACAAACAACTAATAATTTATATCCAACTATTAATAATTATTCATATTATAATTCAAATACTCTTATTTACTTATTTAGAGTATAACATTTGCTAATTACTTTGAAACAACTAAATCAAATAAAGCATGAGTTTAGTTGGCGTGAACAGCCAATTCCCTTTTCAAAAAGTATGCCATATAAAATATTAATTAAGAAAAATTAACTAATTAATCTCTTAGTGCATGCGCCTTGGAAATCCAACTCCAAATGGGTCTAAGTTGAAGACATTGATGGATGGAGATCAGACAAAGGCACCAATGTTTTTAGATATCAAAGTTTTGACCTCTAAATAAAGTATCTCAACTAATCACATGGAACACCATTAATTAAACAGCCACTACTCATGTCCAAACCTTCTTCATTAAGCAGAGAACTAGGGATGATTATTGGAACGTCTTGCATAAATGCATACATATATAGAAGAAATATGTGTTTATAAAACTCACAAGTCAAATCTACTAGTAAAAAATTTGTCTTGTAAGACAAGGTAGGGTTCAAGTTTTAAAACCAAGATTCAAAAAAAAATTAATTTCTTTAAATATAACATAGTTATGTAAGAAGTGCACCTTTAAGATGTCTTTTCAAAAACATTTTTTCTCTTTAAGACAAAGGCACATTTTTTTTCTCTTTAAGATCACTTCAAGAGAAAAAAAAATGTGTTTATGAAGTCTTGATACATTGATGAGGTAAAGTTCTGAAATCTTTAAATTTCAGGTTCGAATCTAATGGCGCATGAGCCTTTTCCTTATGTTGTCTTAATCACAAAGGTCGGTATTTCACTGTCAGAATCAATGACTATTATGACTGGAATCAATGAATTTTCTGCATTCATCTACCACTACTAATCATAGTGGGAAAATAACCATATTTTAAGCTCAATTACTCAACATAATTGAAGTTTCATCATTCATATAATGATGTTGGCTAAGTCCTTTTCCATGGCAGTGGAAATTTGACTCTCAATTATAATATTAAATTGTCCATATCTGTTTTTGGCTTTTTTAGGGTGTTCAGAATCAAGAACCGGAAGTTGTAATAGGTTAAAAGCCAATAATTCCATTAGCCAGGGTACGATTAAAATCAGACCAAATTGAACAAAAACAGACCCTTTTTTCCGTAATTTTTGCAACTCAACATCGGTAGAAAGAAAACAAAGGATTGAATTTATTTGGATGTAAATAAGATGGAAAAAAATACTATTATTAATTTGAACGTAAAAAATATTATTATTAATTTATTTATTCATACAATAATTTTTCTCAGTCTTATGCAACAGTCCACATAATTCACTGTCTGCAACATGAATTGACAAAATTAGTCGAAGAAATAAATTGCAATATCGAAGGAAGGAGAGAGAGATGGAAATAAATTAAACCTTACAAACAAAATAAAATAAGTGTCCCATAATCCTACTGTTATTATTAGTGGATCGCTAAAAAATCATTTGATGAGGGATACACTCATATATAAATTTATAAAAATTTGTAGTAGTAATACTATTTTAAAGATAGAAATTTGATTTATTTTCTTAAGAAAAGTTAAGAGGAAAGAAAAGGAAACCTCATTTAAGATTTTAAAGAGAGACAAAAATCACAACTGTATTGTGAAAGTTCTTTTTTTCAACATTTTTCTTGAAAGAAACAATGTCTTTGAAGCTTGAGAAAAAATAAAAAATAAAAACTTACCAAATCAAGAAAAAAAGAAAGTGGCAAAGATAAGTAGAAGTCCCAATTGAAATAACATCCTCTCTGTACAAGAAGAAGAGTTGATATGATCTCTTAGCCAAGAAATGCTAAGCAAATATTATTCCTACAAAGGAAAACTTTCTCCCCCTTTGTTTCCTCTTTTTTCAATCATATCACTCCTAAAATTTCGTGCTCGTCGATCTTGTGTAATTCTTAGTTGAAGAAGAAGAAGAAGAAGACGGCGAGGACAGGTTGCCAGTCCTTCGCCTCAGCATCTGCCTCATACCGTCAGCCACTCGAACAGCCGGATTCAATCTAAATTTCCCACAAAATGACATGTGAGCTTTCACAGCTTCTTCCACGCCAGATGGCTTCTTTCCCCTGCTGACTTCGTCTCTCACGGCTTCCGAGCATAACCCACATAGCCATTTCCCATCAAATTTGGCCTTGACATCACTGATGTAGTCTTGTGTGCAATCTTCTTTGAGCTCACAACACTCACACCTCACAGACTCAATTTCCATATAGGTAGGATGTTGTTTTTCTTTTCTTTCCCTTTCCTTTCCTAGCTTTTCTTTTCTTTTCCTTAACCTTCGCAAGGTTCAAGGGAATTCAAGGTGTTTTTATACTTGGATTTTGATTGCAAATGATGGTATGAAAAAAAGTGGGTTTTCTTTTTCTTTCCGTTTTTTTCCCTTTAAGTTGTCTGGGATTGAATATGGGTTTTGATTTTTGAAGGAAGATAGAAGAAGTAGAAGTTGCATGAGAGATTTTTATGGTTGGCTTTTTGAGATGGAACAGGAGAAAGCTTCCATAATTTCCTCCATGTTCTAAGGGAAAAGAGACAGTGGAAATTTGTTGGAAAGGGGCCTCAAAGACTGGCTCCTTCTAGCATTTAAAAACTTCTCTCTAAGGGTGTTTTTTTTTTTTTTTTTTAATTCTTCCTCATTTTGTTTCACATTGGTAATTGTATTATGAGTTTTCTACTTTGCAAACTACACTGAATTGTAAAACATAAATTATTAAATGAAAAGATATATAGTTTCTAACATCAAGGCATTTGCCTTATTCAATAATTTATAATGATAATTCATGTTTTACAATTCAGATTACACAATACTTTTTTTTTTTTCTTGTGTTACCATATGCTATTTTTTCCCTTTTTCTTTGATTCACGTTAGTTTCAGTCGATGAAGGAATTAGGTGTTTGGGTTGTGAAGAATTTGACCAAGGGTTGGGGACTTGGTTATTTGGGATTCATGTATGGTTTGACTGATCAAACCTTACAATGGTGTAGAGCCAACATCTCTGTCATGATTTGTTGACCAATTGGCTCGAGGTAGTTCAACACACAATTATTCATCCGACGGTGGAGAATTGAGGGATTAAAGTTGTTAATGTATTAATTATTAATGAGGTAAATATATTGTTTAAGCATATTCAACACATAAGAGTTTGAGGTTTATATTAGAAATGCTATACTAGAGTAAAAAAGTAGCTATCAACCTATATTATAAAAAATTAGGTGAAATTATAAAATTCACATTGTTTTAATAAAATTTCATGAAAAATGACTAAAATATTTTAATTTTTAAGCAAAAATAAAGTTATTTTTATCTTTTATAGTTAATACTTTATTAAAATGATATAATTTTAAAATATTTTTTATTTAATTTTTTTGCAATACAAGTTAATATCCATTAAACTCATATCAGAAACAAGAGATAGTTAAAAATGAATTGGATAAAAGAGAGGATTATGTACCCAAGAAAAGGAAAAGAAAAGAGATAGGAATTGTTAGATTTATGTTATTCATTTGCATGGTGGGTTAGTATAGGCCCGTTTGAATGATGGAAATAAATAATGCAGCTACATGGACGGCGGACGGTTCTTTCTTTCATTTCTTTTCAAAGAGAAATGACCTTGAAAATAAAGTTCCAATCTCAGGGAGAAAAGAAAAGAAATGACCCTTGCAAAGAAGTTCGCAATCCATCATAATACATTCTCTTATAATAATTTCATTTTTTTCTAGTTCGAATTAGTTAAAAAATGTTAATTTAGACAGGTACACCCTTAAAATGAGTTTCTTCTAGAAAGGATTCGAATTAGCTTCTTTTTTTTTTTTTTTAATAAATTCCGATTGAGAAAATTTTTGTTGTTCTATCAAGGTTTGATTTTTGTGAGGGTACAAATCCAATTGCCCATCTTTCTTTTTCGTTTCCATGACATGATCTTGGCATCATTAACGAGCAAGGAGCTATCATCAATCATCAAAAGTTTGTACTGTTTAAACAATTTATTTTTGTGGTTGGTTGAAGGCTGCTTTCACCCTTCCATGGAAAACAGGGTTGCTTTCACCCTGCATTATAGCTTTTAATCATGTTGGGTATTTGGCTTCTCCAACTAGACCATGTGGTTGAGGCTAATTGATCTGTTTTATATTTTGCCAGAGTTGAAAATTGATTGGTCTGTTTTATAATTATTCGCCTGAGCTGAGTAGAAAATTGGGGAAGAAGGAAGTATGTAAATATCTTAAGAGTTTATTTTAGCGAGGTGTTTGAATGATTTCTGAAAATGACAACTTAATTTTTTTTTTAAAGAGAAAACCATTTTCTATTATATAATTTATTATTAGATATGTAGTTGCAACCACAGCATGTTGATAAAAGGAATGTGTTCTCAAAATACTTTCTTACATGGCAAACAACCTGATACAATTGAGTTTCTTACAGACAAGAACATGTTCCGTTTAATTTATGGCAACAATATGTCAAAATCAGATAAACAAGTAAATAATCTTGCCTTTTTCCAAAAAAAACAAGTAAATAATCAAGTCAATTTTGATACAATTATTACTTTATTGTTGTATGATTTAATCCAAAAAGAAGTTTCTAACAATGTACCTAATGCTGATTATATTACAACTTGCTTGGATTTGAAAGATCTCTCTAATGATTTCCCACTCAAGAAGAATGAACCAGCTAATTTACTCAATTATAACATCATCCACAGATGACACTGTTGGTAGTATTAGCAATAATGGCTGTGTTTAGCCAGTTCACAAGCAATCATAGAAGGTTATAGTGAGCCTAGCAGTTCAAAAAAGAATTCTACATATGGAGGTGGCTAGGATGATCAAGTTTGATTTAGCAGTATTAGCCACACATGATCTTGGGGTGGCCCAAATTTTAATCCCAATAATGTTCACATATCTATACCTTTTAATTTTTCTCTCTTTTTTGGTATATCAAATGATAAACAATACAATAAAAGGATAGGCCTCTCCTTCCTTTAATCCCTCTCCACTCTTCTCAAGATTCAAACTTGAGTTATAAGTTCTTAATCACTTAAAACACCCATTTGGGAGCTTTAATCTTACTTTTAACCCTAGGAAATGTACCTCCACCTTCTGGGGCCTTTAATCTTTTAACACTAGGAAATGTACCTGCACCCATTTATAGCCAACAATGGACTTTCCCCCTCAAGCACAAACAACTCTTAACATCTCTTTTTTGGATATGTCTTGGTTTATAGAACTTGTCTAATTCTAGTTGGTAATAATTGACTTTTTAACATGTTAATCAATACTTTTTTGGTGGTGAACAGGAACCGTTTGATCTTTTGCCCATTAAACAGAACCCTACATCATTTACTTTGTTTAAAATCATGATCTCCAAAAAAAATTTAGGCAATCAATCAAATCAAAACAAATTATGGCAATTCTTTAGAGCCAAACAAGCTAATTAAGAGAATATAAATGTATTTTTTTATTTAGACTACTTATAATCCAAGTTATAAAGTATTTAAATGCCCTTATTTAGGGTGGACACATTTCGGATATTACTGAACTATCTGAATTTCTCACTTGAATTTTTGAATTTTGGTTTGAATAATTCGAATATTCAAATAAATTCAAAATGATGAAAATTAATTTTGGTTCAGATATAGTTATTGACATATTTGAAATTATCGATATAAGGTACTAAATTGTCTTAAATTATCTAAATTTTTTTCATATAAATATATTTTCTTTTTTTTTTATTTTGGTTTTTGTGCTATATGATTTTTTTTTTTTGCCAAATTTTTTTCAATCAAATTTATAGATAGGAATATATAAAAAAAGAAAAAAGAAAAAGAAAAAGACTAGAAATAATCAAAATTAAAAAGAAAAAGCTTTGGTTAATAATGACAAAAAAGTGAAGAATAATGGTATATTTTGGTTATTTTGGTTAATTAATCGAATTATCTACGTAATTTCAAATAATCGAAATTATAAGCGAATTAAAAATTTAGTTTAGATTGAATATAAAAGTCTTATCTGAAATTATTTTGAATAACCAAAAGTTTGATTAAGTTTGGATTGTCTTAACCGAATGCCCAACCCTACCCTACTGAATAAGATTCATTACAAGTATTTTAGTACTTTCCTAGCCCCAACTATACTTTTTGAACAATCTAGACTAAAAAACCGCTATTCTTTTAAAAGAAATCTATTGATCAAATAACTGGACCGCTATAGAAGGATGAGACACCATTTTGTTAACTTAAGCCATCAGCTGACTAGACATTGTCTTGACCCATGTGAATTCATGAACTACGGTCGAGCATTGTCCTTGGTGACGAACCAAGGGCCATACTCCACAAAATAGGTCCACAGACAAGACATAGCCAAGCATGTGGGGTTACAGAGGGAGCTTGAAGGGCCACACTCTACCCATATGCGCCAAGAAAAGTTCAGTCACTGTATTGAGAAGCAAAATGGGGGTGTTTTGGTAGATGTCAAGCATTTTCAATGGCTACTATATGGTGCTTCCCATCAATGCCTTGAGGGGTTGCTTATGGTTCTTCAATACACTAATAAGCAAGCAAGGTGTTAAATGCAATAGGCAATTATAGTGCTCTGTTTCGATGGAAAGTTGGCAACAGATCTTCATTGCTTATGGAGTTTGGCTTACAAGCTCCAGAATCCTATTCAATAATGAGGAAGTACAATCAAAGACGCCAAAGGGACCATGCAAAATTCACATTAATGGCCTAAAACTTTAATAATTAGCACCGGTTTGAAGTCGTAACTACTTACGTCAGCCTAGACTTGGGTTTGCACTTTTAGGCCAAGTAGGATTGTAAACAAGCCATTTAGAAAGATGCAAAAGGAAGAAAACAAAAGATGTCTCCTGGTTTTTGATCTTTGTCTGGTGAATCTCATGGCATTTTCTTCTGTTTCTTGTAAAGTGGTTTTTACTGTGTCTAGTTACCAACACCTCCATTATTTAAAAAATTTTGTCTTTAAGCTTCGTTTGTATGGTTATTAATTTCCACCAAGGGTTTTTGAACTTGTAAATGCATTGTTTGAAAGAGACAAGTGATTCTCACATGGGGTTTCTTGTTTGTTCCTTCATATTATCTTATGAAACTGTTTTGTTGTTAAAAAAGTTTTGGGGGGAGCCTGTATTTGCTTAAAAACATTAAATGCCCATTAAGTGGCATCCCACATGGATATCGTATTATTCTCTCAAACTCACCTTCACAACCAGGGATTCTTTGTCTCATACCCAACAAAATCCATATCTGATATCTTCTCTGCAATCAATTATTTGGACACTTACAAGTAGGGGGCGATGATATCTGAGTTGATATGTGATTCAATCTGATTGATCTCATCTAAATTAACTTAATCTAAAAAAAATTAAATTTAATTGATATAAAATTAGATTAATTTGAATTATAAAATTTTGAAATCAATATAATTGATTTAATTTATGATTTTACTTTCAAATTACTCGAACTGCTCAATCATAAAATAAAACCTCATTTACAAGATAATTTAATTAAATAATATAATATTTTTTGTAGTATTTTAATTTTTCTCCTTTTTTTGTTTTTGTTTTACAAGATAATAACTCCATTAACTTAATTAAAAAGTTAAAAATAAAACATCCTCATATTTCCTAATTTATTTTTCCTTCTTAATCGTGCACTCTAACCTTAATTTTAAATTTCGAATTCACCTACAACCCTACCCCTAAAAATTGGTTTGCGACTCTACTGTTAAAATTGTAGATTTCTAATTTGTTTTTAAAATGATATTCTAATTCTCCAAATTAAGTTTTAAAGAAATATCATTTTAGAAGTCTTAAAAGTACATAATAGAATTAGTCCTGATATTCTACTGTTCTTGAATGTTTAGTTGAGGAGTTTTAAATCTTGATTATAAATGTTTGTAATCAATTCTAGTAATATTCATATTAAATTTTGTTCACTTTTAACAAGATTTGATAGATTGGATTGAATCATTGGTATATTAAGAAAAAAGACTAGTTTCAATTCTTAAGAATTACTTGCATTATACTTGAAATTTGGAATCATCTTTTATTGTTTTTGGTGTCTCTAGTACGTAGCCAAGAAGAATTTTTAGATCTTTTCAATCTTTACAATTGTAAAGAAGTTTGTGTCTTTTTATTATATTATATTTCTACTAATTTGAATATTAATGTATCTTATAGTTATATTTTTTACTTGATATTAAAATTTTTACATTATCTAATATATTTAACAATCTGATCAATCCGATTGAACCATACTAATTTGATTTAAGCTGAATTGATTTGGTTATTATATAATAATCGATTATATTGATTTAAAAATTTTATTAACCAATTAAATTAAATTAATTTAAAAAATATTAAGATCTGAACCAAATCACATCACAAACTCCCCCTACTTGCAAGTTGCAACTCAAAAACTATCTAGTTTCTACCCTCGGATTTTTTTCTTTACTTTTCCCCCAAGGAAACGAAGAGAACAAGATGGGGTACATGATTATGCCTGGAAACTTTGATTAATCTCAAGTGCCAATAATGAAGACAATAATTAGAAGAGTTTTGGGTGGGAGCAGAGCTGACATAATATTATCTCTCAATAAAAAGTCTTGTAATAGTCACATATCATCAAATGAATAAATATATATTGACTCAACCTGAATTTAACTTCAAAAACTTGTTGTGAATCATTTGCCTATATCAAAACTCTAACTGTATCTTTAGATTGAGAGAACTAGAGAAGAGAGAAAGCGAGAGGGGAAAATTTTTATACCTTCTTTCCCCTCATTTAAATAAATTAATTAATTTAAAAAAAAAAATTTGCCTCTCCACTCCATTTCCCTCAACCCAAACATATTGCAAGCCTCTTAACTTTAGACATCAATTAATGACAAGTGGATAGACCCTTAACCTGCCTATAAAGTCATAACAATCTTTAAGTTTAATTAAAGGACGTAATATAACTACTTACCATTTTATCAAGGAATATATTATTCTAGTTAAAATCTAACATCTGCCCACCTCCAGGAATTTTTGCCCACAGTTCAAGTCTACCCACCTACAAAACTATGGGTTCACACCCATAGGAAAAGACAATAAAAAGTATTGGGATCCACAAATTTGTAAACTTTTCAAATGATTATTGGTTACAAAACTGATTGGTTTTGAGCTTTCCTATTGAAAGATTCAGTCATTAATTGTGATTCAACTATTTCAACTTTCAGCACTCTTTCATTCGAAAACGAAGAAGGTGTTGTCATTTCTGTCTATAACAATGAATTGGTATGAAAAATCTTGTCTGATAATACCTGAGTTCATCCATTATTTGTTTGTACGAAACATTTAGAATTGAATTTTACCATGTGATTCACTGGTTGAGCTACATTTCTCAATAAAGAGATGATGGCATTTACTCTTATTTGGAGATTAAATTTTCAATTTTTAACAATCAATTAATTTAACTTACTAATTATTGTCTTTGCCAAAAAGAAAAAAAAAAAAAACATTTAGAACCACAGTGTGCAGACATGAGTGCAACTAGACAGAGAAAAGAAAATAGGGTTAGAAGTTCACATTGATTTTGACTCGTCATGACGTGATTTACAATTTAGGGTTTGTCTATGTTCAACTAAACAGTTAGTTCAATTATTGCACAAATTTTATCTGAATAGTTAAGTTTTAAGAATATTTTTTCAACTTTTCTACTTGAAATTCACGAGTAAATTGCCTTTTTATAACTTTTATTTTATGTCAAATTTTTATCAAATAAAGTTAAAAAAGCAAACTTTCTTGTAAATCAGAAGAATTTCTCGGGTTGCAGAAACCAATTAGACAAAGTGCTATTTTTTTTTTTTACAAGAGTAATAATTAAAAAATTAGTATGAATTAATTATTAACAACTAAGATTTTTAAAATAGTAAACATTCCACCCTTCAAATGAGGTACGTGATTATTAAACCGTAAGTTGGTGGAGTTTACGACGGTGATAAAACTCGAAACCCTAACTTAAGTCTCACCCAAACCCTAACTTAGGTCTCACCCAAACCCTAATACTTGGGGCAAACCATTAGATCTTAAGTCCGGTTCGCGACAAAGTGCTATTTGTTTAAGAATTAACTAACATATACGGCATTGACTACAAACAATTTAATTCCATGTGATATTAATAACTTAAACATTGTCAGAGAAATGTCAAGGGTCACTCCACACAGAAAATTTTTTTCATAGAAATCTGTAACATGTGTCGGGAGTTGAAAGATACTACCTTGTATTCTTTAGTAATTCTTATAAAGTGTTTGCACATGTTAAAAATATTTTTTTTGTATTAATTATTATTGAAAAAAAATTAATATTTTTTAATTATTTATTTAATTAAA